ACACACACACACACACACACACACACACACACACACACACACACACACATTCAAGATGAAAGGTTTGAGATTGCCAGCTTGTTCTAAAAGTTACTTTTGTAGTTACCCTGTGAAGATTTTAACAAAAACCACTAGGAGGCAGCATTTTACCAGTTCATGTGTGTAATAGTTTTCAGATGTGTGCTGCTGTTCTTTCTGAAACTTTGGCTTAAGGATGGCAAAAAATATATATATATTTTTAGTGGCATAAACAAACTTCCATAACGTGGCCTATTTTAAATAAGAACGTGTTATTAATTTCTTACCTGGTTAACGTTCTGCATCATCTTGTGGTTAAAAAAGATTGGTATTACACAAAAGTACAGCTCATCTCTAATTTACCTTCACTTGTTATCTTGTCAAGACGATACATAAATGTTCAGGACATGAACTCATAGGTGTCGTTTCTTTAAATGTTATCGATATGTTTAGTTAGTTTAGAGGGATTTAAACTATTTTTAAACACAGGGGTCTACAACGAGGAGCTTTAGGCAAACTCTCTAATCATTGGCTGTGCCGCAGAAAGGGAAAAATTGAACAGCAGGTGCTGTGCTTACAGTCAGAGCTGTTTGCTTGAGATTTCGCCTTTCCTTTGGCATCATACAAAGCAGCGAATTGAACAATCTGACTGAATTTGAGTGTTTAGAGCATTATGAAGCCCAAACTTTAGGTTGACAAGGATTATATGCCCTTAAAGATGAGCATTGTAACTGTTAATATGTGGCATAAAAGTAGACCCAACACCTCGGTAAATCTACACTAAGAGACAACTTCCACAACTAAGACTGACAAGTAACTTCAAAGACTTTGAAATATACACCAGAATTTAAAACTTTTGTTTTTCTTTAAACAACCAACCCACTGGCCAGCTGTTGCTTGTTTTGAAGGTAAATATGGAAATTTAGGTGCCCATTTTTAGACAGCCTCATGTGGAAGCCGTTCATACTGTGGCACTTGGGTGTTCACAACTCACCTCCGCACATCTGGCCCGTCGTGGTGTGAGGTGGGCGTCGATGTTGGAATGTCAGTCTCTAAAAGTAACAAGTGCGTCTTTACCCTCATCAGTTTTTATTTAAGCCTGCAGCATGTGACAGAAAAATTCTAAAGGTGTGGACACACATTATTTTGTTGCTTTTATTTGCTTTTTTTGTGCAGAATCTTTTTTTGTTTTGTTTTGTTTTTTTCTCCCACTCAGATTGATGTCTGCTTCTGCAACCAGCAGCAGTCTCTCGCTGACTTGACGTGATAGATGGCCTAAATGTTTAAACTGCCCTCGGCAAGATCCCAACTCTTTCTCTACAATTACTTGCTTGGTTTGTTCTTTCTAATCATAGATATGTCATTCTGTGCTATAATGCTGAACAATAGCCAGCTTCAAGCGTTAGCAGCTAAATCCCCCCCCTCCTCTCTGTCTCTTTCACTTTGCATCCCTGCCCTCCTTCGCTCCTCCATTGCTCCTTGCTCTCCTGCTCTCTCCCTGCATGGGTTATGTGACTCACACAACACTAAAAACTAATACAACATTAACTCCGCGCCGAAGAAAGCTCAATATTGTTACGCTTCTGTCTGTTCACCGTCGCACGCTCGAGGCTGTTTGTCAAATGGCCTTTTGCTGATGTCTCACAGAGGTTCAGTCTAACGTCTGTGTCTCGGCTTTCCTTTAAAATTAAGGCGGTATTCTTCCTTGTCGGGATGCTTGGTCTCCATGGTAACATCAGGTCCATTATAAGTGCCATAAAGAGCATGTGAGGGAATGTTAAATCGCCAGTCTGCCAGTCTCCATCACCTCACTGGGTTGATTGTGTAACTCACACTCCCACGGGAAAACCTCCTTTCTCCCTCGTTCTCTTCCACTCTCCTTCTTTCTCCTCTTTCTGTCACACATTTGCCTCTCTCCTTTCCTCTCATACTATTTCAGTCATACAGTCAGCGCGCGCACACACACACACACACACACACACACACACACACACACACACACACACACACACACACCATTTACTGAGTCAAACACTGACCCCCAGTGGAAAAACACTCTCAAATCCTCTGACACAAGTTTTACTGTCCAAGGCACACCAGCAAGAAAGACGAGGCTATACATCTCAATTCATATCTGCATAAAATAGCCTTTACATCATAAGGTCTTCTTTGAATTGCATTGTCAAATAAAGGCAATGGATCAGGCACAACACCAGCAATTTTATTTCCAAGAATGTCGACACTTCGTTAGCATTTACCTTGCCTCCATCACCTTATCAGACACTTTTCACACAGTCCCACAGTCTCTTCCCAAGCACCAAATGTCTGCAAAACACTGTTTGCTCTACTGGGATTTTCCAGCGTAGCCATCCCTAGAGTTTACAGAAGCTAATCCAAAACAGAAAATATACCGTGAGCAGCAGGCATAAATGCCTTCCTGATGTCAGAGGTCAGAGTAGAATGGCCTGACTGCTTGCGCTCGTCACAAACAAAGTATGCACATCTTTGAATGTGTGACATGTTAAACCTTGAAGCAGATGGGCTGCAGCAGCAGGAGACCACACTGGGTGCCAAAGTGAACCTATTTGTGCAAATCTCTAGACAGTCAAAGCTTTTCATCCGATATTTAAGTGTAGCATGTTCACTGAGGGCCTTCTTGCTGTGACACGAGAAGTTTTGGGATTCAAATCTGCTAGCCTACACTGCCTGCACTGTTTAGACTGCTGGGTAGGTTGTAGTCTCTGGTTCAGAGCCAGGACTGTTTTTGAAGTTTCTCCTCTAAAGAGATTCTTGGTTGCCAGGTGCCTGTTCAGTTTGCTCTGCAGCATCTTAGAACTGGCCAACATTTCCCTAGAGATATCACACATGACCTGACGACGAGTTAGCGTTTTTGATGCTGTGTATAGATTCTTGTCTTTTCTTTTGTTGGTGAGCCATCTGCGCTGGTGGTTTACACCACGCAAGAAGGTGATCCGCTTTTAACCCTTGTTATCCTCTGAGCGCTCAGTGGAAGTCTTATATGTTCCAGGCTCTAATTTTTTTCCAGCATCCCACAACTGTGCAGACAGATCGGGTTTCCATTTAATACCCTTTTTTTGTTTTGTTTTGTTGTTGTTGTTTTTTAAGGAAAATGAGTGCAGTGGAATACCCCATAATTTTCCATTCAGTTGTATATTCCAGTAATATTGTGTGGTTATGACAAAATTGACCTGAATCCTTCTCTCAGAAACATTTCTCTAACTGCTTAAAAAATTATATATCTTTCCTGTGTCACTCAGGTCTTCACTCGCTATGGGAAGTGTTACACCTTTAACGCTGGCGGTGATGGGCGCACTCCCCTCATCACCACCAAGGGAGGTATGGGTAACGGCCTCGAGCTCATGCTGGACATTCAGCAGGATGAATACCTGCCAGTCTGGGGAGAAACAGGTGAGAAGAAGCCCACTCACGTGGCAGGTTATAGCTGTCTGTCACACTGGTGCGATTGATGTGTTGGTGTTTGTGGGCGTCGATACCTCAGAGCCTGAAACTCTTCTGCGTGTTTGGATCCTTAGTGAAACTCATTTTTACAGTGATCCCAAACGTTTTGCTTTCCTGCAGATGAGACTTCGTTTGAAGCGGGGGTCAAAGTTCAGATCCACAGTCAGGACGAGCCGTCCTTCATTGACCAGCTCGGATTCGGAGTGGCACCCGGGTTCCAGACATTTGTTTCCTGTCAGGAACAGAGGGTACAAACTGTTGCTTATTAATTTTTACAATTATTACATTATCATACTCGGCAAAGGAAGAGTTCAGAGATCTGAACAATTAATAATTCACTATAACAAAGCAAAGCAAGGTTCCATATGAGGAACAGACATGAAATAATCTGGTTTCAAATGATTGAAACAGTTTGGTTACCAACTGATTTCTTGCCATTTGATTGATTCATTGATTCACTAATCAGCTTTCAATCAGACACATTTTGTCCTATAATTAAAAATAAAAGTACACACAAACCAAGAATGCGTCTTTGGATCCTTTTCAGTGTTTTGTTTGGATAAAATCACTTTTACACAATGTCAGTCATACTTTTAGTGGTTTTAACTAACTTTATTTTGACCTTTCTGTTTTGTTTTGTTTCTGTTGCACTATCTCACAGTATAAGGCACTTACTGGGCTTCTGTGGCACTTTTTATTTGACTGCGTTGTTTATTGTAGGCTGTGCTATTTTTACTCTTTATCATGTTGCTGTAGGACAAAGATTTCCCTTGTGAGACCTATTTATCAATCTAAAATCAAACATTTGAAGAACCAGAAATACTTTAGTTTCAACACTGATATAAATATGAAATTGAAAATAATAGCCACAGCTGGTAAAAAAAAAAATTTCTGTGAATTATGGCAGATGTTTATAGTTTTCACTTTCCCTTTTCTTCGACTGAACAAAGTTAAACTGGAGCCTCTTTAAAATCTCTTTTTTTAAACTAAATGAGTGTTTTACTTTATTATTCCTAATAAAAAAATCACATCCATAGCTCTGAATAATAGATTAGAATTATCCGCGGGTCACATCAGACATTTTAAATCTCTCTCCCATTTGTGCAGTTGTAGAATTAAAAAAAAAAAAATGGATTCAGTTGTTTAGTTCTTGCTTTTCCCTGCAAGGAGAAGCCTGCTTTTTATTTCATGCGGTATTTATTTCTTATTTAAAACACTATTAAGTCGTTATGTGGTCATTGCAGCTGATATATCTCCCCCCACCCTGGGGAGACTGCAAGGTGACGCCAATGGAGTCGGACTTCTTTGACACTTACAGCATCACAGCCTGTCGCATTGACTGCGAAACGCGCTACCTGGTGGACAACTGCAACTGTCGCATGGTGCACATGCCTGGTAGGCGTCCGGTCTTTCTCTGTGTTGTATCAGACTTACGCCGATCTGAGAAATTACTGAAGGCACTTCAAAGAAGGAAATCAAAGAAAAAATTCATTAACGTGAGTGTGTGTTGCTGCTGCTGCTACAGGCGATGCCCCCTACTGCACCCCCGAGCTGTACAAAGAATGTGCTGACCCAGCTCTGGGTAAGAAAGAGGCTTCATACTCCTCTAAATCTTTAAAGAACAGCAACACACGCACAACCAGAGCCATGTTTGCATCGCTTCACAGGACATCACATTTATTTCCTGCACATTTAACCAAAACCTGATATTACCTTAATATGTCTTTATGATATTAGTTTCCCCCAAAAAAGGAGAATGCACAGATTTATACCACAAAAACATCAGAAAGACACACACGCGCACACAGATGCAGGCACATCAGCTCGTGACATCTTGAAGTCGCAGTCGCACTGATTCAAAGGTCAAGCTGAGCTCTGGTTTTCCTCTCTCCAGATTTCCTGGTGGAAAGAGACAATGATTTCTGTGTGTGCGAGACGCCGTGCAACATGACCAGATACAGCAAAGAGCTGTCTTTTGTCAAGATCCCCAGCAAGGCCTCTGCTAAATATCTTGCAAAAAAATACAACAAATCTGAGCAGTACATTAAGTAAGTATGTTTGGGTTTTCTCATTATTGTGTGCGCAAAGCAAAGCCTGCAATGAATGATTATTTTATTACAGGATTATTGTATTTCATTGACTTTCACTAACAAAATATAAAAAAGGGGCATTTTCAAAGGCCCAATGTGTTCTTTCAAGATATTCATTTAGTTTAATTGTGTCCAGAAGCGAAACATTTTTAGTTTCCCTCTCAAATAAAAGAAAAAGGAAGAAAAACCCAACCTGAGAGGCCATCATCAATAGAAACGTGTGCTGACTGATGACTTTCTAAATGTTTTTAAGGGGTGAAATAAAATCTAATACCAAACTGCTTTGATTCAGTTTTCATCAACTTATACCATCTTTTGTGCATTTTGATATTTTCTGATCATATTTCTGTACAGACAGACAGTAAGTAGGTGGGGCTTCTGCCTTCACAGCAAGAGCTATGTGCCCAAGATTACCCCATTATCACACTGAAATCTAGCTAGGAGTAGATTAAAACTGTATTAAACCCAGTGTTGAGTCAACAGGAGCGACCAGGATGGAGAGGATCGGGAATCAGTTTGGAGACAAAGTTACCCTGGAGTAACTTTGGAGGTGGCTGAGTTGAAGATGCCAAGATTTTCAGATTGAGGGACCGGGAGAAGATTAGAAATGAGTATATCAGGCTGAACAGTTTGGAGATAAATTTAGAGAGACAAAGTTGAGATGCTTCAGACATGTGCAGAGGAGGGATAGTGGACATACTGGACAGAGGAAGTTAAAGATAGAGCTGTCAGACAGGAAGAGCGCAGATGAGATATAGCGAAGGAGGACATTCAGAGGGTTGATGTGTTGGAGGATGTTGGGATAGAGTGAGATGTGGCCTCCAAAGGCAGAAGCTGAAGGAAGAAGAAAAAGGTTGTCTCAAAAGCTGTGTTGTGATAACTTAGATGGCATTGTCAGGGTCATATTTCAAACGTCGAACCAGTCCTTTCAGAGCCACTGACAAAGAAAACATTCAAATCTCATCTCTCAAGTGCTCTTAATTATTATTGAGCAGCTTCAAAATGAGGGATTTGTGTCTTCATTTGTTTATGTTGTCTCCACAGGGAAAATATCCTGGTTTTAGATATCTTCTTTGAAGCTCTCAATTATGAAACTATTGAACAGAAGAAAGCATATGAAGTGGCTGGACTTTTAGGTATAGCTTCATTTCTATTATATAACATAGACTGCTTACGTTTTTTGTCTTCATGCATTTGTTATGAATATGCTTTCATTTCAGGTGATATTGGTGGTCAGATGGGACTTTTTATTGGTGCAAGTATACTGACTATTCTGGAGATATTTGACTACCTTTATGAGGTAAGACATAGGCATTTAAGAGGCCATATAGTCTGTCATTTTTAATATGCAAAGCTTTGGACTTGATGTATTTAAACCTGACCATAATTAGATCAGTAGGAGTGATCAGAGGAGACCGTATTTCACAACACAGTTTTGTTTTATTTCTGGCTTTGAAGCAGTGTTTACACCTCATATTTAGAAAATTGAAATAATTAAAAGCATTTCTTGTTGCGTTATGCGACTTATTTCTTTTCCTGCACCGACCTTGCTGCGACTGTGGTTTTCATCCCCTCAGGTAATGAAGTACAAACTGTGCCGCTGCTCCGATAAGAAGCACAAGCATAACAACAACAATGACCAGGGAACGGTCCTGAGCTTAGACGATGTCAAGTGTCACGTCAGTAACTTTCACTAAGCTTCTGCAGCCGGGGGCAGAGAGCCGCCGCACTCTCTCGCTTGTGAGCAGCTTCGTGGACTTTGTTCTTTGCAGGTTTTCTTTCTTTTCCCACTGCTGGAACAACAGAGGAAGTGCGTGAACTGTGCCTGATTAAGGTGTGTAAGCGACATGATGAAATAGGGACGTGTGGCTGAGGTAGGCAGACGGCCACAGCGACGCGAGGGCAGGAGAACCAAGAGAAATAAAACTAAAAAATGTTAGAATAACTGCATGGTCTTCTGTAAACACCTTTTCAAGACGTAGTAACAGATACAGTTAAAGGTTACACAGATTCATTATATGTTCAGTAAATCAGTGTTAGAAATCCCAGCAATGTGGTGTCAGTTTGACTGTTTTTGTGTGAAATAGTTGTTAATTTACAGGAATTTTTGTTTGGACTAAACCAGCTTTCTCTTTTACTTACAGCTGTCTTCCCCTGTTAAACTACGCATTTTGCCATCATACTGTACTACCTCGTCTCGCAGGATGACAGTGCTAAAAATAATTTAAGTAAAACTGACTGACAAAAAGGTAACTGCCATGTAGAGTAGGCGGACATTAAAGAAAGCCCAACATTTTCTTGAAAAGTAGTCGCAGGCGGTTTTCACAGAAAGCATTTTGATGTGTCACAATAGGTAAAAGCACAAATGTAAGGATAGCTGAGATCCATTTACTTTAATTATGGGTTCCTGCAGCTGGATGAATAAAACGTAATAAAATCTCGCTTCCCACCGTCACCACGTGCTTGCTCAGAGGGCATCATCTGTTCACTGCGGTTCTGTCTTTCTTATTGTAGGGTCTTTACCTTACAATATAAAGCACAGTCACACATCTTTAGTTGTGAAGGGGCACTATGTAAATGAGACCTAATTGAACTTTTTAAGCCCAATAAAAATTTGTACACCCCGAATTTGTATTTAATGTTATAGATGTTAAATTGCTCATATTAGTGTAGCTAGGTCTGTTTGTAAATAGAAAAAGATTAAATAATAAGAGTAAGTGTAAGCTCTGCGAAAGTAACTGTTTTGTTTTATGGTAGTTATTTTCTGTTACATAAATCCTGAGGTAATGGTGGATGGTCATAATAAACATGGCCAGAGTTTCAGATATGTGTAAATAATCCCTGCTAGCAAAAAGGCAGCTTTAAACTAGTTCAGACCCCACTGTCATAATAACTTGAGATATCAGGACAAACCTTCTATTTGCAAAAGGCAGCCAATCAGACGAAAGCTGGCTGAATTGGAGAAGCGCTAAGAGTTTTTCTTCCCTTGAAGAGAGGGAATATACAATTGGTTACATTTGCTTGTCTGTCTGTTAACAGTTTAGCCTCTGCAGTTTTCAAGATATTATTTTCAATTGTTTGTGATGGTAGATACCAATAACAGCTCAAGCTGATTTCATTTAGGTGGAAATCAGTAAAAACGTTATATTACCCAATGTTTTTAATGGCTCGTCTTCAAACTTCACAACAATATACAAGGCCTTTGGGGATACAAGTACCTGGGTAAGCATTTGATCTACACTGTTAGCACGAAGATCAAAATTTCAAGAATCTATAACAAGTAATATCTCATATGAAAGGGCATGGAGGACACTTTTTTTTTTTTTTTTTTTGCAATACAGTGCCCTATGGTGTTGCAGTAACACCATGACAGGCTAACGTTATGTATTGTAATAAAAACACCATAAAACATCAAAGTTTTAGTCTAGTCGGTTGCTCTCTGAGTGCTCTTGTTTTTGCTTTTTTCAGACAGCGAGTGAACCGATAAACTACCCAAAGACCCAGCATAAGACACACAAAGAATAATTTGAACTGTAACTCATGTAGACCTATTGTAATGTAGTCCACAATAAAAATACAGAATTGGAAATGAGCAGTATAAGCTCTTTCTCACTTTCTCTCAGAAAACGTTTGTTTGCACATTTTCACCGCACATTCTTTGTTATAACCAGTTTATGTATGAGAGTAAAAAAGGCCTACGTATGATTTTTATGCACACGCATAGTTTTATACATCCAGCCTCTGATGTTGCGCACGGTTTCGCACTTTGGTCCATCATATGACGCTTGTGAATGTTATCAGTAACCTGTGTTTTTCCTGCTGTAACAAGTTCAAATGCCCGCTGTGAAAAAGATCTGCCAAGGGAACTACTTGGGTTAAACACGAGCAGGAAGTTAAAAACCAGTTGCTAGATTCCCCACAAAAAAGATGTAATCGAACAATATGACAAAGAGACTTAATCATCGTGTACTGTATAGCTTTGCTGTAGAAATGAGAAATTTATCAACACGTGATGCCATAACATTCGTTTAAGAGAATGTCATTCATGTTTACATGCTTTTTGTCACATTTTAAGGAATTTTGCTTCTGTTGTGTCAACAAGGCTGGATCACATCAACTAGAATCAATATTTTTGAATGTTTTTTTTTTACTTCCGAACGCTTACTTGCATGTAGCACTGTACAGCAAGCATCCTATATGTACAGTTCATCCACACCTGCAGTTTAAGCCTTCTTCTGTCCTCGTGTCTGGGTGCGTTTTGTGAGCATGTATTCATTTTACGGCGATGAAAGAAAAGTGGAAAGAAACTGCCCTAAAATGCTCAACAGTGAGTGTGGTGTCAGGTAGATGGAGAAAATCTGAGCTCTGCGGAGCATGTTTGAGAGTTTCCCTCATGATTGTGTATATACCAAAATTAGGGATGCACCGATATATAGGTCAAACCTCGGCACAGCCTGATCTCGGCCTTGTTGACCATTCACTTCTCTGCAAACAAGAATGTATTTATTGACGTGAGTGTTTTCTGATCTTTTTTTCACAATGCCTAATGTTTAAGATGGTGTGTCAGTTCTGTTATTGAAAATTTGCTTGTCTTCCTGGCACACGAAGGAAAAGCAAACAAGAACAAAGCGTGGCGTGCCCAGAAGTTCACAGTCGGTGCATCTCTACCAAAAATCTAACCATGTTCATTATTCTGCTCCTAGTTGTTCTCAACAGGAAGTGGGATCTGATTAGCGTGTAGCTGTGTGGTGTTACTATCAAGCACAATTATTCCATCAGTTGTAATTTAGTGTAAATATTACTGTTGACTGTGGATAATAATCCTCGTGTATTAGCATAGTCTGGTTTGTCTAACGGTGTACTTAATGGATTTATTTCAAAGAAACTTGCTGTGTGTCTCAATTCATTTTTTCTTCTGTAAATGACTGTAAATTTGTTTATTTGTCAAAGACAAAGTAGGGGGGCTGTTTGTTTGTTTTTATTAATATTGCTAGAGTTGAGTCACAGCAGCCGTTCTCATCAGTACATGAGAATTAAATAGCCAGACTGTTGCTGCATGAGGTCGCCCAGCTTACTGCTTTTGTTTTTGTCTCCGTCTTTACTTTTGCCTTTTCATTTGTGATATGAAAGGACAGCTGTTTTAGTCTGGTGATGTAAAGATGAATAATGGACTTGAATCGGTTGTTACATTAAAGATCAAATGCTAACTGTATGTATCTCTTATTCATTTCGAGGAGTTATGTGTCATCATTTACACTTTCGTCATGAAAAATCAGTAAAGGGTTCGAAAAATGGACTTCTGGCTTTGAAGAAATTTCTTTGGAGGCAGGAGCGTGGCTGAATGTGGATCTGGGATGGATCCAGATCCCGTTTTTCTAGAAAAAGCACAGTGGTCCTCCTCAGTGGAACATTGTAACTATAAATATATAATGTTAAATAATACACTGAAGGTTCCTGTGCTCATTTTAGCTGCAAAACAACACTTTCTTTTTTTTAAATGGACTCCCCCCTCATATGTCTCGAAGTGGTTTGGTCCGCTCCCCCAATTCCTTTTATACTCGTGCTTTTGTTAGCACCATGACCTCACTGTTGAATCCTGTGCTTCGGTGCAGCTTCTGTTGTTTTTACAGCAGTTTCTCGCTACATGCTACGAGGGCAGGATGACATCTTCATCATCTTCAGTATCGTCAGTGTGATCCTGATGATGATGATGATGATGATTTGTTCTTGTTGGCTTCAACTAACTCCCAGCTTGCACTGGGGCAGTTTGCAGCTGGGTGTGGAGTGGGCTGGGATGATATGTATAACAGCTGTAAAATATAGTGCACACACTCTGGGTTGGGGAGGGCTTGCTGACTTATGTGGAGGAATTCCAAGTATCTTGGGGTCTTGCCTGTAAGTGAGGGAAGAATGTGAATGTCTGACTGGGAGAGATTATGTCTTTGGACTAGTTTGGGGACTCTTCTGTGTGAGTTGGAGGTGGCTATGAAGCAGGAGGTCTGGGCATCTGTGCTTTCAGTGCTGCCCCTGGGAGTTGAGCTGAATAAGTGTGGAAAAGGGATTGATGGATGGACCACTGGCCCCCTTTGAAAGATCCTGGAAAAAACCACTGGCTTAAGAACAAGCATATTGGCTTAAATTTACTATAACGTTTACATTTTCACTTATAAATGAACTACAGTAAATATCTCCTAGACTCTAATAACCCCGCAGCAACACAGCTTCACATATCAGACCAGTCAACTCTTTCTTTTTGAACTATTTTCTGCAGAGTAAGCTGGATTTTGTCAGTTTGTTTTAAATTTGCTAAACCAGACTGCTGAGAGCACTTCCTTCCCGTGTTGCCTCTTCAACCACTGATCAACACTTGCGTAACAAGGCGGTCCTTTGTACGAGCCCTTTGGACCAAATAATTTTTGCCACAGTGAGCTTTTTGTGGTTTGCTCCAGTGACTTTTAATGTCCTGCTTATATTTTAAAGAGATAGAAGTTCAGAAAGAGCAGTAAAGTGGTAAAGAAAAAAAAAATACGCCATTACAAATTCACTTAGAAGTTCCTACCTGTCTAATGTTTATCAAACATTGTGCTATTGGTGCTGATGCATTAAACTGTTAAAATTGGCCTGCCTTTAATGTTCTGACAGTTTTTTCAGCCATTGAAGTGGACAGTAAACTCATAAACACTGCTAATAAAAAATTTTTCTTTTATTTTAACTGGTGAAAAAAAAATGGTTTAACCACAAGCTAGCGCTACAACCAGATACTAATATTAGATACGACTGCCATAATGGATTCCATGGAAAAGTTTTAAATATTTCACGGACTACTACTTCTTTTTTATCTTCAACAAAAATTATACTGGATGATCTTCAGATTATTTGCTGCTGCATTAACAATACAATGTGGATACACTGTACATACGAGATACTAGTCTCATTGTTAAATGGTAAATGGACTGGTTCTTGTATAGCGCTCTTCTACTCTTCTACTCAAAGCGCTTTACACAACTTGTGCATTCACCCATTCACACCCATTCGCACAAGCACATTTTTCTAGGTGCTTTCTATGTAGCATTCACACACATCGGATGCATCAGAGAGCAATTTGGGGTTAGTATCTTGCCCAAGGATATTTGGCATGCAGACTAGGAGAAGCCAGGAATCGACCACCAACCATCTTTTGAGACTTTTAAATCATTAAATAAGCCTACCCAAAAACTTAGGCTGCCTTTACTGTTGAACCTATTTACTTTTCTAATCACTGGGATCCATAACTTACACCATCATGCTGTCCTCAATGAGATTTTGCAAAATAGACCGACACCATAAAGTCATCAGGAAAATGTTTACTGAGGTTATACATCAAGGGAGCCAAATGATCGCTATCCCTCTAAATTCTATACAATCTGACTTTTTTTTCCTCCAGAGGAGTCGCCCCCTGCTGATCATTAAAAAGAATGCACGTTTAAAGTGTTAACATATTACCCTAAATTAAAAGACTGGAAAAAGACCTATAATGCCCTTTGCATTATATTTGATACACGAGTTTCTGAGACCTCTATCTCATCAACATGATCAATACTTGCCGTAATTTCAAAATGTTATGGACAAAACTCTTTTTTTTTTTTTGTGTAAAATTAACATTATTGTTGTTAACAAAAAGTTGCCAAAAACGCCCAATGTATGAAATATGATACAAAAATATGTAATAAATATATAATAAAAATGTATCATACACAATACCATATAGCAAAAAATATGGATTTTGTTATAAGGGTTAATAAACATCTCAGTTCCAAAAAAATCAGAATTTTCTGGCTATCTTTTGATGGGCTGGGTCTCACAGGATTAAGTACTTCTTTTGTTTTTGCCTTTGAAACACACTAATTAAAAACAATTAACATTCCTAAATTCAAGCATTTAATGAAGTAGCAATACAGGTAAGAAAAAAAAATCATAGCAATACTTTAAAGCACCAGAATAGAGAATAAAGGACTCATTTTGGAAGTAGTGATGTATGAATATGCAGTCACTAGCACCCATGAGAAAATATAAATATAGGTAATATTTCGATGTAATATTGTTTCTGCCACTGAAAAATAAATAAATAAAATTTGAAATCTCAACTTATCACAAAATTTGGAGTTACGTATCTGAAATTTTCAAGCACTTTTCTAAGTATAACTTAAA